GTTTCAAACAACCTTCAACTGGAATTTATTATAAGAATGCTGAATTAAGAGTAAAATCTTGGCCCAAGCTAAACTCGAACCTGCACCTCACGCTTTCCGTATCCACTAATTGTGACATGTTAAAGGTAAAGCGCATGGGTTACTGTAAGACTGAGGCGCAAAAGCCATTGATAGTAGAGGGTAGGAGCGACCTTGGTGGCGCAACGGGGGAAAGTGCACTCGCCCGTAAAACGTGAGCTGCGGGTTCCAGCCTCGCCTGCGGTCGGGACTTTTGCCCATAACTCTGCATTTAAGCACTATTCCAATATTACTACACCAAAGTCTCAGGAAAGAAAATTCTTTTCGCTAAAACTCTTCATATAGCTGTTATTCGATGTCCTGAGCACCAACATGACATTCATTTTTGGCGCTGGTTCCGTTTGGCGTCAATATGGTGCCTCCACCTTCCTCAATGAAGTCATGAAAAATTGTATGCAGAGGTTATTCAACATCCGATCACCAAAATGCCACTGTTTTTGTCGCTTGGCGCCATTTGGCCAAAATACACCGGTTTGGCGCGACCATTTCCATCATAATGGATCTGCATAATATTGTCGATTGATACCCTGTTCACAAATGAAATTCACTTTTTCGAAACAAGCGCGACCTAGCGCTCTCCTAAGGCTGTGCCTGGAAGGAGGAGCATTCCCTACAGACCAGGCTCAGCCTTAGCAGTGCACAGATGATCATAGTGTCCTCCATTAGCGCCAGCGCCAAGAATGAATGTCATATTCGCGATCAGGATGTCAGATAACCCCCTCATATGCAAGTTTTCATTGATTTTGGTGAGAAAGGCCGACTTCGCGCCTACGAACGCCAGGTGGCACCAGCGGCAGAAATGAACATCATATTCGTCATCAAGATAACCCCTGTGGTCAAAGTTTGCCAAAAAAGTCATTTTTAGATTAGTAATAGCGAGTTAGTGCCTTACATTGTTGCAATAGCAACCTTCACTGATTTCAGTGAATTCCAAGTTATCCTGGTAATAAGAATTTGATTGACTTATTGCCTAGAAATCGATGGCGAGTCGTTGTAAGAAGCGACGTCCCGAAAGTGGATCTGGAGAGATGAGTGTTGGAGAGTATCTTGCGTTAGGAATGGACGAGAAAGGTCGTGCTGATAGCAGCTCATGCGGTACTGATAGTCCCGATACCGCTGGAGATGTACCGCCGGCGCTCGATAGAGGTTTGTACAGTCTTGTTCGCTACGGATGATGGGGCGTGCCAGAGGCTGGGTTTGGCTCGCCGCCAACCGGCTCTCCACCAGTTGTTGGAGCGAGTAAACGGCAACAGCCTAAGGAAAAAACGATGTAGTTTAGTCGGTTGCTAAAACAAAAAAAGCGGGCTTACGCTGCGCCAGACCCATCCCGCCTTATCATCCGCAGCGAAAAAGAGTGCAGAACAAGTTTTACGCATTCTTTCGTATATTCTTTTGTTCCATAGTAACTTTTGAGGGATTTTGTTGAACGATATTTTACAACTACCGTTCTTAGATTTCCTAATTTTGAAATGTCGTCTTAGGTGATTCTATCGATGACTCATCACCGCAGCCGCCCATTGATTCTACGAAATCAGTGGAAGCAATTTTTATTCGTGAAGCATTAGCGTTCCGTGCAAGGGGTGGAGGTTGCGGTAAGCCCCTCGTGCATTACATGGATGGTTTTACTATTGAGGTGAGACTCATAGAAGGACATTATCCTTGAAATGTTTGTTTCTTATCTGATTTCTTTTTATTTATTTCATTTTTATTTTGGTATATCTTCAGGAATCTGACGTTCCGTTTCCGCTAACTCAGTACGATAAACTCACTGAGCTGGTGTCATCCGATGTTCTGGACGATATCATGCCGATGATTGCAGATATCGACGTCAAAACTAAAACTGAGCCTAAAGGTAACGAATTGTGGAACTCTTCCTCGATCTTCCTCCACCTTCCTGTATAATCAAG